TGCCGCGAAGCATTCTGAATAAAGCAAACCTGGAACAAAAAGTCTTTGCTCCTGGGCGCTGGCCTTGCTGTGCATCAGCGCCCCGCCCAGTCCTACCCAGAGCTGGCCTGACTTTGCCTAGGGCTTGGGAATGTCCCATTGGGATTTTTCACGGGGAGCAGCTAAGCTACCCCACTTGGGTCGTCCCTTGAGGACTGGGTTATGGAAGGGAGACTTGGCCTCTCATTCCTCTCTAGGAATTCCCGAGTAGCCTTATTCCTTGTTCACCAGCTGCCTGGAAACTCATTTTGTAATGGGCTAATGAGGCAGGTCAAAGCAGATTTGCTCATTAAACCAATATCCCATTTTAGGGTTCCTCCCCAGGCCATCCCTGTGGCCTGTTCCTTGCAAACCAGGCCGTGGGTCCCTGCGAGCCGTGCAATAAACGCCCCCTTGGGAGCGCTCGGACAGAGCTCGGAAGCTCTATCAGACATTTATTTCAGTAACGGAGATTGCTGCTGGCAGGCCTCCATGCTCCCGAGCCATCGAGAGAAATCCGAAAGGGCAAAAATTCCGACCGAGTCCCGTGGGCTCCGTCTCGTCATGCCGCAGAGCAAATATCAAATTGGGGCAGGGCCGTCTCCGCTAGGAGCTGTTGCAGGGCTCCCCGGGACTCTGACTCCAGGGGCTGCTCCAAGCGGCATGGTGCTCAGCAACCTGTCTAGCCTGCCTTTTTGGAGTCTTTTCCTAGTAAGTGTGATTAGAACTTGAGTGCCGGATGATTTCTGAATCCAACCCTCACCGACAGCCCCGCACCGGGGGTTTGTAGGCAGCTTCCTCCTTTAAAACCCAACTGATTCTTTTTTTTTGAAGGGTTTTAGAGATGGGGGATGTGACGGAGGATAATTGACCTGCTCTCCGCACGTGACTTGGTGAGGAAATGGGAAAAGAATTTCTGGCTCTGAAGCTGGTAGCGCCACATCCAGATCATGCTTTATAATGGAACAAAAACCCTCCGCACCCCCACCCAGGATTCCT